GACAGAGCCTTGGTGACCACTGACACCCCTTACCCTGCCTCTAGTCTTTCCCACCCTCTACCTCCCAAACAGACAGGAGAGGGCCAGGGATTTAGCTCAGTGGTTCCACCGCCTGCCGTGTAAGCACAATGACCCGAGTTCAATCCCCGGTACCAAAAACAAAACAAAACAAAACCAAATAGACAGGAGAGGCCACGGGGGTGGGGTCTCCTAGGGGGCCCAAGATGCCCCCTCTGTCTCCAGTAACAGAGTAGGCACAGTCAGGACCAGGACCTTAAGCCCCTGATCAGAGCTTCTGCTCCCACCCTCCTGGGACACCGGGCTGCGTCTCTCTCCCAGGGTCCCCACAGATAGCCTCGCTCCCCATCCCATCTCTGAGCACCCCTGAGCTCAGGCTGCAGGGCCCAGGAAGACCCCAAGCCCCGAGACCCTCCTGAGGATCACAGTGCAGTGCCAGCTCCCCAGCCCGGCCTGCGGGTCCCCTCCAGGTCCACCCAGACCTTACCTGTCAGGTCGCCCTGCCAACTGCGCCTGCCCTAGCAGAGCCTCTCCCCAAAACACAGGTGCACCTGGACAGGTGTGCCTTCCGCCAATCAGCACCTGCCCCACCCCCTCGGGGCCATTAACAGTGTCCTTGACAAACCGGCCGAGACTGCCCAGGCCAATGAGCCGTGCAGGCACGGCTGCCAAGGGGCACAGTGAGGGCAGTGGGGCGTCCCCCACGCACACCAGAGCCCGCTGCACTCCCGGGGAGCCAGAGCAGGAGGCTGGAGGAGCAGTGTCCTCAGGGCTCCAGATCTTAGAGCTGGGCACAGAGAGCTTGAAAAGCAGAAGAGGAGAGAGGAGCGGCCCGGAGACCGGAAGCTCACGGGCCAAGGGCGGCGAGAGGGTCGTGACAGCCGTCCTGAGAGCCCGGCAGGGTGTGAGCCTCCTAGGAACCGCTCTGCGCGCTCACAGAAACCCTACAGGCAGCGTGTCAGCCTGCACTAAAGAAAAGGCACTAGGGCCGGGGGTTTAGCTCAGCGGTTCCGCCGCCTGCCTTGCAAGCCCAAGGACTCGAGTTCAATCCCCGGTACCAAAAAAAAAAGAAAAGAAAAGGCACTGCACGGCATGACAGTGTGCGCTTGTGATCCCAGCACTCTGGGAGGCTGAGGCTGGGGGATGACGACAAGCTCGAGCCCCCCCTAAGAAGTTCAGCAACTCAGTGAGACCCCAAATTAAAATTAAATATAATTATTATTATTATTCTTCTTCAATCCCCAGTTCTGAAAAAAAAAAGGAGAAATAGCAGTGCATAAATAGGAAGCTTCTTTTCCAACACCACAGAGGCCAGCTGGGTGCTGTGGCCACACGCCTGTGGCCTCAGAGTCTTCAGAGGCTGAGACGCGGGTTGCTTGAAGCCAGGAGCTTGAGGACCGTCTGGGCAGCAGAGCAAGACTCAGTCTGAAAAATGTCATTACCACTCCGGCTTGGCGGGACACACCCGTAATCCCGACACTCTAGGAGGCTGAGCCGGGAGAACTACAAGTTCAAGCCCAGCCTGGGCGGCTTAGTGATTTAGGGAGACCCTGACTCAAAACAGAAAATAAAAGAGCTGCAAAGGTGGCTAGGACAAGGCCCTGGGTTCCATCCTCAGTCCTGGCTTCCCACCAGGCAACATTTCTGAAAACAAATACAAGACCTCGGGCTGGGGATTTAGCCCAGTGGGGCTGCTGCCTGCCTCACAAGGGCAAGGTCCCGAGTTCCATCTCTGGTACAAAAAAGAAAGAGAAACCTCATCACCACCAGCCCACAACATAAAACAAGATCACAGAGGGCAAGGGCAGAGCCAGGATCACACCCTGCACTCTGCCCACGGCTCCACGGTCCTGGCTTGATAGGCCCACCTTTCTCAGGGCAGAAAGGAGGCCAAGGGCAGAGGTCTCCAGACCCTGGTGAGGAACTTGGACTTTATCTTCACGTCCAGATCCTCCCATCTCAGCCTACTGCTTCTCAAAGCGTTATGTGGCTGGAGCCAGACCGTGTCTCACTCAGCAGAGGGGAGGAACTTGGGTGACTGCAACCCTCGGTCGGCAACACAGCCCACCAGTGCACACCCTGTAAGCAAGAGCAGTGCCCCATCTTGCAGAGGACGAATATGGAGGGTCCAGGAGGGCCATCTCCTGTGCAAGGTGGTGCAGCTCTTTCCCTACTGGAAGCTCCCTGGCCCTGGAGGTTTCAGCAGATCAACGGCTTGGGCATAAAGCTGAGGTTCTGTGCCAGATTTGGAAAAGAGACCAGGACCGCCGTCTCCTGCCCCAGACAAGCCACCTCCTGGAAAACCACGCTGCATCTTCAGTGATTTGGGAAAAGCTGAGACCCGGGCCAAGCCAGTCACAGCAGGTGCAGCCCCGGAGCTTGCGATGGGGCCTGGGCCGCCCTGGCCTGCCAGCTGTGCAGTCACAGGGAAGCCCGCCTCACGGACAGCCCAGCACCGCCAGCCCGCAGCCGCCCCACACGTCCACACCCTGGCTTCCCGTCCTGGGGGCACCGGCAAGCTGAGAAGAGGGCCCCAGGGGACACACTGGCCCTCGCCGCCTGCCATGCATCTCTCGCGAACGGTGGTAGCGGTGGTGAAGCCTGAGCAGCTCAGCTGTGCCCAGCTTCTGTGCCACACAGAGCCCCAGTTTCCCCTTCTGTCCAGTGAGGAGAGCGTGGGAACAGGGGTCCAAACGCCCAGGCCTGGGGGAGTGCCCAGCACACAGGAAGTGTCCCTATGGATTCTGAACACTGGGCTCTGGGCGTCACGTGGGAGCCGAAGGAAACGGACTGATGTCAAGAGGAATCTCAGGGTACTGCATTTGTAAAGAGCTCCCCGGGAATGGGGTGACCCCTGGACTCATGGGGCTGGGTCTTCTTTTTTTTTTTTTTTTAATAGCACAGGTGACTGGACTCAGGGCCTTTACACTGAGCTACATCCCAAGTCCTTTTTTTGGAGACAGGGTCTCGATAAATTGCTAAGTTGCCCAGGCAGGGCTCAAAGTCGAAATCCTCCTGCCTCAGCCTTCCAGAGTGCTGGCATTGAGGGTGTGCATCACCACACCCTCCTAAGGACCAGATCATCACTAAGGCACCCCATCCCTGTGATGTTGGGGAGGAGGCATGCCCAGAGTCCAGGAATGGCTTCGGTGACCTTTCGAGTTCCCTCCTGGCCACCCAAGCCAGAAGGTTCCGTATTTATGTGGATGACGCCTGGCGGTGGGGACTTGGGAGGGGTGGTGGGCGGGGGTGGGAAAGGGACCGAGGTCCAGGAGCAGTGACTCAGGCCCTCGGCACCATGACAGAGTGTCTGCATTTAGCTGCCGGCTCCTGTTGCCCTGGCGGGCGGCGGGCTCCCGGCCCCACAGCGGCCCCTGCAACTTTCCCCTCACCACTCTGTCGGTCCGTGCCCAGAAGCCCTGCCAGCACCCCCTCCGCCAGGACTCGGGGCACAGCAGGAAGCACTGCTCCAGCTGCCACCCTGGCCCCACTGTGTCCTCCCTTCCCCCTTCTACACCAGCAGCACCTCTGAAAACCCTGCAGGGAGCGAAAGGGGAGCAGCCCCTCCTAACAGGGACCCAGGTCTTTGCAAACACCGCCTGGGGGGAACTGTAGCCAGAGAGGGGAGAGGAGATGTCACAGAGAAGTCTTAAAACTTAGGAAAGCCAGCTGGGGATTTGGCTCAGTGCTTCCAACATCTGCCTTGCAAGCGCAAGGGCCCGAGTTTCATCCCCAGTACAAAAAAAAAAAAACAAAAACCAAAAGTTAGGAAAGCCAGCCAGGTATGGTGGTGCATGTCTGTAATCCCAGCCCTCTGGGAGGCTGAGGCAGGAGAATTACAAATTGGAACCCAGCCTGAGCAATTTAGGGACTGCTGAGTACGTGGCTCAGTGTGAAGGACCTGGGTCTCATTTCTAGTAGCACACACACACACACACACACACACACACACACGAACATGCCACACACTGCCAGGTGCCTGGAGTGACCAAGGACAGTGCTAGGAACACCTGGGTGGCTGTGAGCGACTGCAGCCAAGGGGAGGAGGGGCTCATGCTGATCGGCAAGGAAGGGCAGGATTTGGGGGGAGAGCCCCAAACTGCAGCCTGAACAGACAGCCTTCCAGAGGAGCCTCCCCAGCTCTGTCCAGCCCCGAATGACCTCAGTCTGCTCTGGAGTAGCAGGTGGGCAGGGAGGGGCTTCTCCGGGTCTTCTGTCTCTGCAGGTGAATGTTTCAGAAGGGACCTGGATCAGACGGGTCTGGGTTCGAATCCTAGCGCCGCCCCTTGCACAAGGTACAGCCCCTCTCTCTGTGTGAGCCTCCTTTTCCTGCCTATAAAATGGACCTAATATCGCACCACGAGTGGGAGGACGGTGCTGCCAAGGGGAGCCTTTGGCCAGAGGCACCCGGAGTCGGGATGAGGGCAGCTGTCTCCGGAAGTGAGTCCCAGGACGAGCAGGTGGCTGCTGGGAACTTGACCTCCTAGGCCTTTCAGGAGAAGAACCGAAGGACCTGCCCTCCCCGAGCCGGGGCCCAACCCAAGCCGCCAGGTCACTCCTAAACGTTCCGAGAGCAGGAGCGTGGAATCCGGGTCCCACACAGCTGGCAGGGGGCAGCGGCACACTCCCCCCACGGAGGGGGCTGTCTGGGCCTCTCCCGTGTGCTGTGTGTGAACAGAGCTCCTGGCCTCACACATCAGGAACCCACCCGCCTGCAGGGTGCGGCACTGTCCCTTTTGAGCCCCCAGACTGATGGGGGAGACACCAAACCACAGAGTCCTGGGGCAGAACTGGAGCCGAGGGGCAGGGGGCAGGATCCAGACCCCTACCCCAAGGGGTGCGGAGGCCCTTGGGGCTGGAGCCATGGGCCTGGAATGCCGGCAGTGAGCTCAGCCCTCCGGGCTGCCTGTGTGGAGCTGTCAGCAGCACTAGTGCTTAGAGAAGATTTCCAGCCCTCGCTGGGCCGTGGAGAGGCCTAAATTTAGCAAGAAGACAAGGGGCTGGCCCCGAGCCCAGGGACAGTCCGGCCTTATAAAGCGCCGGCGGTCGGGGCCCAGCACGCTCCGCCGGAGGCCCGCGCCCACACCTTCTCCTGTCCAGCTCCTGCCCGCTTGGACAGGGCCAGCACTGCCTGTGGATGAGCCACCGGACCTCCTCCTCCTTCCGAGCCGAGAGAAGCTTCCATTCCTCCTCCTCCTCCTCCTCCTCC